TCATTAGGTGAGACCGTGGTGGGTGCGAAGGCTCCGCTCTCGACGGCCGACTTGGTTATTTCCAAGTCCTTCTCACTGCCAGGGACCGACCCTGAGCTCGCCTGACTCGTTCGCTGGCTGCAACGGCATTTTGTGCCGCGGAGGCGCCTTGGCCGCCTCCTCCCACACTTCCTGCTGGATTCAGGGCGGGGAGCGGCTGCGGATGCTCATCTCGCTCTTCTTTCCAGGGTGGCCGTTTTAGATAAAGTCACGGATTTCCTCTTCTTCCTCGGCAAACTCCTCATCGTGGGCAGCGTCGGTGAGTGCTGGGGACCGGGAGCGTCTACTTGGGGGGTAAATAGGCTTTCGTAGCCGGTTCTGCCTTCCCAAAACCCCCCGCTCCCTTTGCCCCTCCTGTGAAACCATTCCTTCCTGTCCCGTTGGACACCTCCTTCCCCTGCTGCCCCTTTGCTGCCTGCCTTCTGCCCGGCATCCCACAGCAATGGCCACCGTTTGCTCCTCCAGGAATCCTTGCCTTCTTCTTCTTCACCCATCGGATAAAGCTGGTCGAAGACACGGCGCCGCCCCTGAATTACTACTGGGTCCCTATTCTGGTGAGCCGCTTTCTCGACTTGCGGCGCGGGCAGAAGCAATGGGAAGAGCCCCTGACGCGAGGGCCTCGCAGCCGCCCCTCCGCTCGCCGCTTCTGAAGGACCTTCTTTGTCGACGGCGTTTTCTCCCTCCCCGTCGAAACAAGCCCTTTGTTTCGGCCGGCTGCGAAGCGGCGTCTCGCCCTTCCCGCGCTGCCCAGCTTGGCCTCCATCCACCATCCTCTCTGAGGCCTTTTGTCCTGCATCGGGCTGGTCCCCACAGCCCTGCCCTGTTTGCTTCTCCTCCTTCCCCCCGGGGAATTCGGGGTTTCCTCCTCCCGGCCGAGGGACCGGGGTTTTGCGGGCTTTGCAGATGCCGGGTGGCGGCGTGACCGCGCCGTTTCTCTTCCAGACGGTGATCGTGGGCTCCTACCTCATCGCCCACGGGTTCTTCAGCGTCTACGGCATGTGTGTGGACACCCTGTTCCTCTGCTTCTGTAAGTATCTGCCTCGGAGGGTCCGTCTCCCGCAGGGCAGGAGTCTGTGGTCGCAAAACCTCCTTCCCTGCACGGCTGGGAGTCGTCCAGATTTGGGGTTGGCTCCAAATTCCCGTGGTCTCTCTGTGTGGTTTTTCTCCCACCTTTGCCTTTCCTGACTCCTACCTGCGTTCTCACCAGCATCTGCTTCCCCCTGCCTGCCTGTGACGGAAACCCACAGCCTGTCCTTGGGTCTCCGCCGGCTTCTCTTGGTCTTTCTCTGTTTTGGTGCTTTGGTTTTGGTGGAATCTAACTTCAACTAACTTCAATTTTCCTCTTTTTTTTCTCTCTCTCTTTTTTTTTTTTTTTTTTGTCCTCTTCCCCTCTCCCCCTCGTGTCTCTCTTCACATGTTCTCCGTCCTTCATCTCTACCCTGCCTCTCCCCGCCTCTCCCGCTATTTTTCACTCTTCCCCCGCATCACGGCCGCTTCTTCCCGGGAAAGGTGAAGATCTGGAGAGGAACGATGGATCTCCCGAGAGGCCTTACTACATGTCCCCTGAGCTGAGCGAGATCCTGCTGA